CTTTGGAAGATCCCGACGAGGATGTATTGTACACAAAGTCGAACATGCGGGATTTCCCAACGAGTCCGTTGTGGCTCTGGTGGTATGCAGACAACACTGTGCAGACGACACTGAGCGAAGCGCTCACCGTTTTATATACATTCAATTCCGGAGTTCTCACCGGCGGTGTCACGGTTCCATCTCGCAGATCTGCAAACGCCATCACTAACCGAGTTACTTATTCACTCTTACAGACTCTTGCTTTGTGGTCGCAGCTAATATGGAACCGTCTCCACTGAGCACGTCTGCTGAAGCGCTCCACGTGGGTTAGGATCTATGACGAATGGCTTCTGTCGAAACTTGAAGTACAACATAAACGACCTCTACAAACCCGAAGATGATGGATGATCAATTCAATCCTATTATTGACTGAGGTCTGAAATCAAGGATGGAAATCACACATCCGTCGAAAAATAGTAAAATGAAGAGCCGTTTTGAGCGCCCCATCACTCAGCAACTCCTAGGTGCACAAGTTCCAACTTCGAGGTTGAGCCGACTACTGGGATATGCAGGTGTCAGTGTATGCGGGCACTGCAGTAGACCTTCGGACGGTTGCTAGGCTTCAACGAGCCATCCCAGATAATTGCTTCTATATTTGTGTACATGCAAGTCAATGTGAGTTGCATGGGATCTGCGGCCCGTGCGGCGGCCAGTGTCGAATGTTGAAGATCAGATCCCACGCAATTGAGTGTGGGGCTGTGGGATGCTGTGAGGGGCAAAAATGCTGTGGGACAATGTATGGTTGGACCAGCGCTGGCGCAGATCGAGTGACCACACCCGTATTTAACCCGGATAAATATGTTGAATCGAGGCATGGAACCGTTATAGCAAGGCGTAGGCAACTGTTTGTGATGACTGGTCGATCCGTTCCTGCTCTTCCATGGATTCATGTGGGTGCACTATATGTACGTGGGAGCACCCGAGCCGACCGAGAGGTGATTCTTGGCAAGTAAGGCCGCGTTCCACTTACCAGGGTAGTACCCCGCTCCTTCCACGAAGGCTTCTAGTCACTGGGCGATTCCGGCCGTTGCCAAGTTTGTGAAGATCGCCGCGGGCCTGACGCGACACCAAGGTCCCAATGAACCGGAGGACTGGCTTCTCGACCGCCGGTACTGCTGTCTAAATGGCTGAAATCCTCCGCTGCATCAAACTAAGGTTTCACACAAGTTGTGCCGTGATCTGGATCGCCATTGTCGAATCTTTCGCATTTGGCCAAAGAGATCAATTACTCTTTGGGAGGCCACCGTATATGTACGAAGTGCAAATTATACGGGGGATATTCTACCTGGAGAAAATCGAGTGTGCTTCATCTGTGGCCAAGGTCGTGCTTTAGCTGGTGGGTCAGTCCAAATTTGAACCGTGGGAAGTTGAACCCTATGATTAACCCGGTGGCTCGGCAAGTGCCGCCATTGCCAAGCGCGTTCCATTTTCGCTTCGCCCAACGACGTCTCGGGAAACGCAACGGACGCGCGTTTACTTTCCTGCGGTCGCTTCTGGGTGTTTACGGCAGTGTGGAAATCGCCGAGATCCCATCATTTCACACGGACATGGAACGCCAAGCAAAGATCGCCCAACCAATCAGGGTCCGGGTGCCGTTCACCTCTTGCCTCTTCCCCCTTCCCCCCATGGTGGGCTTTAACGACAACCAAGGCCTTTCAAGCATCGCGCACCTCATTTTCGAACTCTTCTTCAGCGCCGCCGTGTCCTTCATCCTCACATCCGGTCTCCTCCCCCTCCTCGGACTGCGCGTGTCCGCATGGACCACCGCGCGGGTTACGGGCGTCTCTACCCTCGCCGTATTCGCCGTACTGGATCGGGTCCTGGTGGGGGTGCCGAGGAGACGAGCGGCAGGCGTGGCGGTTGCGCTAAACGAGAACCCGGAGTTCAAGCTGAGGCCACGGGTGGCGCTAGTGGGTGATGCGGAGACGGGGATGGGTGGCCGCGCGACATGAAGGCATTGCAGTCGCTATGGTGAGTGCTCCCTTGGAACCTCCACTTCCGGAGCGCTACGTGCCCCAGTGGGGATATATATATTCGTTGCACCTCGCTAATGATTTTCACTGGGCAGATCTCTCTCAACCCGGTCCAACCTAATTTTTTTCTTTTCGATTCCTTCGGCTTGGAATTTACTCACGCCTCCGACACGCCCGTATTCCTTTGCGTTCCCTCGTTCTGGGTTTATTGGGTACTCCGGCACATTCGCGCGCCGCATCATATACTATCGCAATCGCGCTTCTTCCCTCACTTTAGGGTAATATACGACAGACGCATGTACCCTTCAAGGCACCACTAATACCATAAAAAATGTATATGTATCATATAAAATGAAAGCAGGCTTGAGATTCGACTCCTCGCGTCCGCCTATCATCGCGGTGTCCCTGAGCCCTAGGAGTAAACTAGTTAACTAGCCGACGGGCGAATGCACCGGAATGCAACCAAGAACGGGGACGTTGTGCACGCGGACGTTGCGCACGGCAGCAACCCTTCTGTAGGTTTGATGAGGGTGGGTTCGACTCCCCGGTCCCCACTGAAAGTCTTGAAAGGCGATTTTTGTTGCAACTTTTGTCCATTAGCCCTGGACTGACCCAGGCACTCACCGGGAATCGGATAGGTAGTTTCTCGAATGTGAAGAGCATCCATTGAAGCAGTTGATGGGGTTCGACCGCCCGCGTTCGCCTCCACGGTTCTTGAGCCTCGACCATTCGTGACCCACTCCCCGCGTCCGCGTCCTGGTTCTTCCTACACGAAGAGATACACTCACCGGGAGTCAAACTGAGTAGTTCCAATGCGGACGTAGTGCTGGGCGCACCGCTGCCCTCTGTAAAAGAGAGTCACCGCATGATCACAGCTTCGGGGTTCGACTCCGCGTCCGCCTATATCGTAGCGTTATTCTGACCTTTTTGACTCTTCCGTGGTGAAAAGGCTGGGAGTTAAACGTGAAACACTGACCGCCTTGAGACACAAGAATCATGTTACGCTGACGTTGCCGCGGAACAAAGAACTGAGACTAAAATCAAATAGGTATTTTGAACGCGGACGTCGTGCACGGCGCATGACTGCACTCTGTACACGGTTGTTGAAGAGTCGAAGCAGCTTTGGCCCTTGGGGCCCGACTCGCCCGTCCGCCTGGGATCGTCCCGCCGGAGGCTTTTGGTCGGTCCATCGAGAGAGATATAAAGCCGGCATTAAAGCCAACTCAATAGCTGGGACGCGGACGTCGCATGACCTGGAGAGAGAAATCATTTCAACTCGTTAGCGTGAACGCGACACAATAAAATACAATGTGACCTACTTACCAAAATTGAATGAATACTTGAATGCGGACGCCGTGCGGCTTGCAATGCTGCCCTTTGTTCAAAATTTGTGCCGGGGCTTTGAAGCAGTTGGTGGGGTTCGACCTCCCTCGCGTCTGTTGAAACACTTTTCTCCTCCGTTAACCCACCTGAATCAAAAAATCTAACCCACTTACCATAGGTCCCGTCCAGCCAGGGAACGCGGACGTGGTGCGAGGCACAGCTGCCCTCCGTAAAAGGATGTTAAGAGGATGTGAAGCAGCCCCGGGGTTCGACTCCCCGCGTCCGCCTAGTCCACGCTGTCACTGTCAGGCCTTTTTATCCTGAGATTTAGAGATAGAGATATCAAGCACCTACCCGGAGGAAATAGGGAACACCGACGCCGCATGACCTTGAGATCCAAAGAGTTATTTCCCGTCAGCGCAATGCGCGAGCAAGAAAAAGAAATCGAAGGCACGTACTCGGCGTCGACTCGATGGTTGGAACGCGGGCGTTGTGCGCGGGCACCGCTGCACTCAGTGATCGATGAAGAGTCGAAGCAGCCCCGGGTTTCGACTCCCCGCGCCCACATGCGCGAGCCTCCGACTGTTTTTGGTTCTCTTTGAGTTTCGGCTCGTTTGGTTTCGACTCGTTCCGTAACCAGAACCCTCGAGAAAGAGGTTGATTGACGCGAGCGAGCCACGAGAATAAACACAATCCCGAGGCTAGGGACGATTCGAGCTTCGAGTCTGCGGCGTTTAGTTGGCATAGTCGTCCGCGTTTCGATTGGTGAGCGGTCGGGCACGGGAATCTGACGTTGGTCAGTTATGGCGAGGAGAGAATCAGATGTCGCAAGACATGATTGAATGGAAGGACAGGATACAGCCAGAACCCATCCAGACTTCCACCGTCGTAAAGTGAGATGGAATGGAGTTGGGCAGCCGAAGGACATAAACAACCAGTTGAATCAAACAGCCTATTTCTGCACTCAATTGTCTTTGACTTCAATCCCCCTTCAAATGTGAATGAAACGACATGGTTTCCTCAAACAAAGAAGTTGAAGTAAATTATCTTGCTTCGCGAAGGCTATTTTACGGTGTCAATTCGCGTTATTTTAACTACGATGTATTTGCCTACTAATACAAGTTGTCTTAGCTAGCCTTTTAATCCAGCCTAAAAGAATTCTATCCTGGGTGTGCAGTGGAAACGATGTTTCCTTAGCGTTGTGGATTGAATTCAAATTTATCGCACTCACTCGGAGTCAAGTTACTGAGTGGTTTGGAAATTGAAGGTGGCTGCAAGTATGACTTCCGTTGTCTTCTAAACGGGGGAAATTGAAGTGGAAGCAGTGAACGGGGGTTGACCCCGGTCCGCATCGATAGCGACCAGCAATTGTTTTTGTTGCAACTTCTGTCCACACAGTAGCACAAAATCTAGGGGCACGTACTCGAAGTCAACCCAACCGTTGCAATGCGGACATTGTGCTGGACTGCCCTCTGTAAAAGTATGTTACGCGTTTAAGAGTCAAAACGAAACGCATCCAATTTCTGCGACTGGATTGTTGAATTGAACGTTCGGATCACTTCGGATCATCGAATCTTGGGAGTTATGCGCCGGCGGCGACCTCTTGATCACCAGGTCAAAAGCACGGGTGCGAGGATTCGCGTTCAGTTCTCAGCACACATTGAATGACCCCGCCCGGAATCGAACCAGGTTCTTCCGCATCCAGAAATTTCCCCCACTCACGGGTAGCAAATGCATGCCATATGCTACGGAGTCTTATTCCTGCAGGATGGGATATCTAAGAGAAGAGCACATTTTTTTGTGTGCCATCTATCTTCCTCGCTCTCCTGCCTACTCAGTCAATACCAGTGGCAACAACGCACAAGGACAAATAAATTGTTACCTCAGGCTGCACTGAGAAATTAATTATAACTCACAATGAAGACCCAGGCCTGAAGAAGAAAAATTGCTTAGAACACCACACCAAATGTCCTATAATAAAATTGTTGGAGCGCCGTTTGCCGAATAAGTGTCGGAAAATTTTGAGTTTACCGGATAAGTGTCGGGAAAACTTGAGTTTGCCCAATAAGTGTCGCAAAATTTGACATCGCCAATGAAAGTGTCGGCAGGTTTTGATGTCGCGAATATATCTGTCGGCAATCTGAGTTGAGTGAATAAAAGTGTCGGAGGTCTTGTTTTTGCCAATGAAAGTATCGCAAAATCTTCACCATTTACGACAGATTTATTCAGCCCCTTAATGCTGTAAAAGTGTCGGAAAAGTGGGAATTTGGCTCAATAAGTGTCGCAAAGTCAATAAGTGTGTCGGGTTATTAAAAGTGCACTTTAACCCTCATAATCTATCAGTAAATTGCTGGCGGCGCCCAAACGACCCCCCAGAATGAGATCGCTAAAAGTTGAACCGTGGGAATAATACCTGATGCGATCGTGTTCCGCTCGCATTCCGCACGTATTGCTGGGGTGCTAGGATGATGCTGTCCCAAGGACTCAAGAGGACAACCTATGAATCCAGAGTTCACCCCAGCAGTTAGACTGACAACCATCGGCACAGCGCAGCACAGCGCACGGTCACTCCCCCCCATTTGGGGAAATGTTGATGCCAAGCCCGAGCGCCGGAAGGGTTTCGCATTGTATAAATTAGAAATTCCCTCATAGGTGGGGTTTCCTTGGAAACTGGGTTCCCCATTACAATAATCCATGATGGCAAAAGTCGGTTGAAAAAATTGGAGGAGGGATGGAGCGAGTGAGTGTGAAGGGTAGTAGATGAGCCAGTACTTATTTACTGGGCCCCAAAAAGTCTGCTGGGTTCGACGGGTTTCAAATTCCCGCCGATCCGTGAGGAACGCTTGCACGGCGCATTTACTCTTTGAACTTTTGTAAGCTGCCGCTCATTACGTGGCAACGGCAACTGACACCTCAGAACCAACCTCAGAAGTGGATATTCCGTTTTAATCAGAAAATAAGTATGTCTGAGTTGTAAAATGACATTCTAATTCCCGCCCATCCGTGCAACCGACGCTTGTTTACTCTTGGGAGTTTCGTAAGCCTCTCATTACGTGGCAACGGCAGTTGAAATTCCGACTGCATCGCCCGATCCGGGCCGATGTCAGAATCATCACTATATAAAGTCTTTGTTCGTACTGTAGAGGTTTGCGCGCACATCATGGCAGCTATTCCTTCCATAAAGCTCAACACTGGAGCAGATATTCCGGCTATCGGTCAGTTCCATGGAAAATCTGTGGACATACGTGAATCGTTCCACAGGTCTGGGAGGAGGTCCGGATGGCTTCACGCCTGAACATGTGGCGGCCGCTGAGAAGTGGTTTCTCACTGCATTTGAGGTGAGAGACACCGCAGGCTGGTTCATTTCTCATTTATTCAACGAATACAGCCTGGCTATCGCCACTTCGACACGGCGTGGGCGTATGGTAAGCCCCTTTGACGCTTTGAAAGATAAGATCTCAATGGATATCAGGCACGGAGCCCAGCCTTGGCGCAGCTCTACGTGCCTCCAAGGTTCCGCGCGAAGACGTCTTCATTACGACGAAACTCCCGTACGTTTTCGTCATCTTCATCGGCGATAAACTGAGGTCCCGTTGAATGAAGATGGCATCACCCCAAATATGTTGAACGTTCGTTCAACGACAGCTTGAGCCGACTGGGCGTGGATTACGTGGATCTGGTAGGAGGTCTAACCTACATTATCGCGCCGTCTGACCTATCCCATCCAGTATCTGATGCATTGGCCGCAACATCTCGAATATCCTAGTCCGCTACGGTTTTTTCGTTGCGCTGTTCCGCACTAATTGTGTGTTTATTAGCTGGATACGACTTTCCGCCCACGTTCGCAGAAGTATGGACGACTGGCAAAGTCAACGACGAGCACACGTTTGACAAAACCTGGGCTGAAATGGAGCGTCTGCATGCGAGCGGCAAGGCTCGCGCGATTGGAGTGAGCAATTTCTCGATCCAGACGTTCGTGGTCATTCGTCCGTATTCTACGTGTTGGCTGACTGAGTTCCTCGTAGTCTGGAGGAACTTTTCAAGACCGCAAAGATCGTCCCAGCGGTTAACCAGGTCGAGTGAGTGTTTAAAATACGCTGATTCATCCAGATGACTCAACAGATATGAAGAATGCATCCGTACTATGCGGACACTGAGCTCATCGAATATTGTCGGGAGAAAGGAATTGTTGTGACCGCCTACAGTCCAACTGGGTACCAGAAACTTCGCAGCGACCCCGTCCTCGTAGGGTTGGCGGAGAAATACAAGGTCTCGCCTACACAGCTTATCCTCGCCTGGCATGTTGCGCGCGGGGTTGTCGCAGTCCCGAAGAGTACAAATGTGGGACGTCAAAAGGAGAACCTTATTGTACGTTCCTCTAATTTCCGAGCAAACTAAGTGAATGAGCTAACGACACGGTGCAGTTGCCCGCTTTGAGGACAGAAGATATGGCGAGCGTGACGGCGTTGGATCGCAAGGAACGATGCGAGCAGTGGGGTACGTTCGGCCCTGACGGAAAGTTGCTAGGATGGACGGCAGAGCAGTTTGGATGGTGGTTATACATACAGTTCCCGAATGTAAATGAACAAGGATCAACCCAAACAAGACAATACCTCCACTTCGCTCCGGGAGGCGGTCTAAGGTGTGTAAGAGCACATGTTCAAGGGCGCGCCGACTTTCAGTGACAATTCAAAGAGCTTGGAAAGTAAGCGGTAGGCAGGGCGATATCGGTCCTAAGGGTCGTGGACAGGACAGGTTGTGCCGGGGAGTTCTAAGCGCAATCTACGCGCTGACACGGACTGCACAATAGCAACTAACGTCCAAGGTAGTCTTTGCCCAGATAATTTTTGTTCATTCCCGACGCTTATCATCCCATCAATGCACGTACATATGTGTATGATAATGTACTACGTTGCTCACCAGCCGGACAGGCTCGATGGCGGACGGTCCGGCTGTGTTGCCGCGAGGAGAGCCAACACCGGACTCTCAATAGAGCGACAATTTATAGGACGTGAAGGAGCGTGTCCACGACACAAGATACCAGAATGCAGGTAATGGAGAGGACTTTGGCGGCTACACCGTTGGGGGACGCCGATGTCGGGATTGACGATGGCGGAGCGACAGATGCCGTCGATTGGGACGGTGGTGGGGTCACTGTGGGCGGGGCTTCTGTTGCCGCGATGGTATAGAAGGGTACAACGCTGCCAGGGAAAATATCGGTCTGAGTACTTGATGCGCCTGGGAGTTTTTCCACGCAAGTGCCCCGCCCGTCGGAACCGAAACCGCACGTTTCGACCACGCCAAGGTCTGAAAATCTGAAGCCAGAAGCATTCTCTTCGAATTCGCCTGAAGAGAAATGAATCATCAATAGCCAACAACTTTGCACAGAAAGACGAACCTACAACCATCACTGGGTCGCTGGCGTTAGCAAAGGTGGTTGTCGTGCTTGGTCCCTCTAGCACCAGAAGGCTTGCGCTCCCACTCTCGGTGTATGTCGTCCAACCATCCGCCCCGACGCCAACCGCAAAGACTGAAACCGTCTCTTCGAGTATTTGTGTAAAGTTCGGATTCGCGACGGACACGGTGTAAAGTGTTTGCCCGTAGACGGCTGCAGCGAGATGAGTATGTACATGATCCGAAGTCGTTCTCGTGAGCGGCACATACGTACCATGGATGGTCGATAGCAGCACTGCAGCCAAAGTGCGCTTGATCATGTCGAGATGGGGAAAGTGGGAAGGTATAAGACCGCGTGCGCCGTGGATTTTACGTGGATTTCGCTTATAACCCGTTTTGGGATCAACCCGGATCTCTCCGGAATACAGCTATTATTGAACAATGAATCGTGTGAGAATATATTGCCTCACAGAACATGTACATCGGTATATTTCGGCCGTTATGTGGACCAGATGAGACCAGGGGGTCTGAATCAGCGGAGACAGCAAGCCCCCGTCGCAGTCGTCGCGATACAGAACACGGATATGTGATGAGGTGGGGTCGGGGAGGCCATGAGCATCGCCGAGTTCACTGGCTCTGATTGAGGGAGAGATTCGGCAGACAAAACTGTACCCCTCGAATTTTGTAAATGGTCCATAACATGATCCTACATCTCCCGCACAGGAAAGCAGGCGGGCAGATGTAGGCAAATTCAAGCAGTGGGCCCAAAAAGACAAATCCAGACAGCAGAGATGAGGGAAGTTCCTAGACAAAGTACTTGTTCAAGCCACGTCGATAGGTTCTGGATTCCAAACTCAGCCAGACGTGATTTCGAGATCCAAACGAGCTCAAGAGTCAACAGCGCATAATACTTGTTAAGGTCTTGACCACGATGACCTCACCTTCGATTCTGAACATCGTAAGCGCGGGAAGACAAGAGTAGATACTGAAGCAATAGCGGCGATTAGCTGGGCGAGAGTGCGACGAGTTTGAAGAAACAGAGGTGAAGGTGAGCGATTGATCCGCGATCAGTACAGCCTTGGTACAGCCACGTGCACCGTCCCCTTTCCTCCCAACCTCATCATGCGATTGCGCAAGGCTTGCACTGCGCGCACGGCGACGCCTGAAGGGCGGATGTCTGTCACGGTCCGCGCCGCAGGCGAGATAATTGCTGTACAGGCATCTGGGATCCATGCACCTGCGGCGCTACCTGCATGAAGATGGTATGACGGGAGGGATGCGTTCGTGGAACTGGACGTTGATGCGCGGGCGATAGTACAGCACGTACGTCCCATCTCTTCTTCCTTCGAAGTCCCTCTACG